CCCCTACTATACCACTTTTTAAAAATTGTTCTGTTATCTTCTTTTGCTGTTATATTAGTTAATTCCCCATTCATTAAATTCTTTTCTTAAATTTCTCCTTTGGCTTTCCTGGCTATATCCATCTTTCTTCTTTAATTGCATTTATTAAAAAAAACTCTACGTTTAATTGAGATAACATTATTAGTGCACATTGTCGTACATATACTTGATGATAGATTGACATATACCATGTACTGATTGCGTAGCCTAGTCTTTGCCTTTCCTCCTTATTCCTTCCTGGTCCTTCACACTTTGGAGCTCATCCAACTTACTACTCCTTCTATTCCCATTTCTTGCTTTCTTTTATTGGTTGCACTTTCTCTTCAGCTTTTATGCACTTTTTGTTGTTGTTTTGTTGTTTTTAAAGATTTATTTATTTATTTATTTATTTATTTATTATTTATTTGAGAGAGAGAGTGTGAGCAAGTGTGGGGTGTGGGAGGGGCAGGGGGAAAAGGAAAGAGAGTCTTAAGTAGACTCTGCTTTGAGTGTGGAGCCGGACCTGGCTCCAACTCAGGACCCATGAGGTCATGATCTGAGCCAAAACCAAGAGTTGGACACTTAACCAACTGCACCACCCAGGTGCCCTGTATGCACTTGTTTTTAAGCCATTTTTAAAGATACTCTACAGTCTTTTATTTTTATGTACCTAATCGTTTTCCCCCAGGTGAGTGTTTTATGTAATTTTTCTTATTATTCCATTTATCTGCTTCTGCAACCCTGTCACTCTCCCTTTCTGTTAATAATCACGGTATTTCTGCTGTTTCCAAGATCCTCACTACCATACCCTATTTTCAGAAGTATATTTGTTGTCCTTTTGCATTTCTTCCCCTTTTCTTTTATTTCTTTTATAGTCAATATTCCTTCTTCTAGCCTGAGTACAATGCACATACCCAAATACATTCTGCATACCAGAATTTGCAGTTATGTTTGTGGCAAAGAACTCCTCCTCCCTAGGGCTTGTTAGCACACTCACTTTATAGTCTTAATTTTAGAGAGATAAAAATCTTAATATTTTTATTTACACTTGGGCTTTTAAAAAATTCAAGAAAAATATATCGGGTCTAATCTCTTGAAGATAATTATTCTATAAAATATTTAATAGATTTTCTACAATTAGGTGTTCAATGCATATGAAAATGATATTTTATGTGACATGATATCAGAAATATTTCAGGTCATACTTAGAAAAGAACCTACACTATGGTTGTAAACCATACTTCTTCTTTACTTGATCACATGTATCAGGACTAAAAAACTGTGTTGATTGCTGGGAACTGTAATTTGTCTCAAAGGTGCTCCTGGCACCAAACCCATAATAAATACTGATTTACCTTGATACTTCATGGAAAAATTCTTTACATTCTTTTCTTCCTTTAAAATTGCTTTGATTATTTTTGACATTGTATCATAGACATTTGTACAGGTGAAAAAATCATCTTGAGAATCAGACCTGGATTCTATAATACTTATGCATTTTCTACCATTTGTTTTAATTTTGAATGCACTTTGAATTTTATCAAGGAATTTTTATACCAGTATTGAGGTAGTCATAGTTTAAGTTGTGAATATAGTTAATTTTATTGACTTATTTATTTGATTTTTTTACTAATTTATTTTTTTATTTTTTATTTTTTTAAAGATTTATTTATTTATTCAGAGGAGAGAGAGAGAGAGAGAGAGAGAGAGAGAGAGACAGAGAGACAGGCAGAGACACAGACAGAGGGAGAAGCAGGCTCCATGCAGGAAGCCCGACGTGGGACTCGATCCCGGGTCTCCAGGATCACACCCTAGGCTGTAGGCAGCGCTAAACCGCTGCGCCACCGGGGCTGCCCACTAATTCATTTTTTTAATTTAAATTCAATTTCCTGACACAGTACATCATTAGCTTCAGATGGAGTTTTCAATAATTCATCAGTTGTGTATAACACCCAGTGCTCATTCCATCACGGGTATCCTTAATGCCCATCACCCAGTTACCCCTTCACCACCCACCTCCAGCAACCCTCGGTTTGTTTCCCAGACATAAGAGTATCTCATGGTTTGTCTTCCTCTCTAATTTTTCCCCATTCAGTTTCCCCTTCTTCCCATACAGTCCCTTGCACTATTTCTTATATTCGGCATATGAGTTGAAACCATACGATAATTTTACTTTTTCCTGCCCATTTTGAGGATTTTTTTTTTTTTTTTACTAATTGCTATGATTGAAAATTCCAGGATAATACCAAAGGGAAGCAGTGAAAGCAGGCATCTTTGTCTTGTGCTTGATCTTAGGAGGGGAGCTTTCAGTCTTTCAGGCACCATTTAGTATGGTGCTACTTTTGGGGTTTTCATATATGCCCTTTCTCATGTTGAGGAAGTTACCCTCTATTCCTAGAATATTGACTTTTTTTTTTTATCATGAAAGGATGCTGTTTTTTCCTCCCAAATGCACTGAAATGATGGTATGGATTTTCCCCTTATTCCATTAATGTGCTGTATTACAGTATTTGGTTTTATATATTGAACCACCGTTGCATTCCTAGGATAAATTTCACTTGATCATAGTATGTCCTCCTTTTAATATGATACTGGATTTAGTTTGCTAGTATTTTGTTGGGGAATTATGCATTTATGTTCATAAGGGATTTTGTCCCCCCCCCCCTTTTGTTTTCCTCGTGATGCCTTTGTCTGGCTGTGATATCAGTATAATGCTGACTTCATGGAATATGTTAGGCTCTGTTCCCTCCTATTCTTTGGAAGAATTTGAGAGGCATTAGGATAAATTTTTTAGTGGAAATTCACTAGTTAAACCACGTGATCCTGAGCTCTTTTGAAGAGAAAGGTTCTTGACTACTAATTTAAGCTCAATCCATCTAAGATTAGTCAATTTTGTCAATCTTTGCAAGGAACAAACATTTTGTTTTACGAAATTTATTGTATTCTTACTCTGTTTTGTTTCTCTGTCCTAATCTCTATTATCATTTTCCTTCTGCTACCTAGGTAAATTTGCTCCTCTTTTTCTAGTTTCTTTATATATAAAATGATATTATTGTGTTCTATCTTCCTTTTAAATATGAACATTTACAGTGATAAACTTCAAATTTTAAGCAAAATAATATATTCTAAAACAACCAATAGGCCAAAGATAAAATTCAGAAAATGCTCAGTTAGAACTGATAAATGAATTCATCAACATGACACATGAAAAGATGCTCAATGTCACTGATCATCAGGGAAATTCATATCAAAACTACGAGACATTATCTCACATCTGTCTGAATGTCTAAAATTAAGAACACAAGAAACAATAGGTGAGGATGTGAAGATAAGGGGAACCTCTTGTATTTTGGTGAGAATACAAACCTGTGGAGCCAGTTGTGTTCCCTCAAAAAGTTAAAAATGAAACTGCCCTACGATCAAGCAATTGCACTACTAGGTATTTGCCCAAAGTATACAAAAATACTGATTCAAAGGGACACATGCACCCTGATGCTTCCAGCAGCATTGTTTATTACAGCCCAAGCGTTTATTGACTCATGAATGGATAAAGAAGTGGCATATATATTCACATTCATACTCATATTTATGTATAGAAATATACATTATGTATAGAAATATACAGTTATAGAAAAAGAATGAAATCTTGCCAGTTGCAATGCCCTGGATGGAGCTAGAGAGTATTATGCTAAGTGAGATAAGTCAGAGAAAGACAAATACCATACAATTTCACTCATATGTGGAATTTAAGAAACAAAACAACAAGCTAAAAGGAAAAAAGGGAGAGAGGTAGGTAAATCAAGAAACAAACTCTTAACTATAGAGAACAAAGTGATGCTTACCAGAAGAGAGGTGGGTGAGGAGGATGGGTGAAATACAGATTGAATATTAAGGAGTGCACTTGTCATGATGTGCACTGGATGATGTATGGAAGTGTTGGGTTACTGTGTTGTGTACCTGAAACTAATACTACACTCTATATTAACTAATTGTAATTTAAATAAAAACTTAATAAATAAATTGAACAGCACATTTCTTTTTTAAAATTTTTAAATTTATTTTAGAGAGAGAAAGCATGAGCTTTTACTTTTATTAATTGGCACAGAACATATGATACTCTCTGTCTTCATAAACATTGAATTCTGTTCCTTGACAGTTCTGTTCTTTAAGAACCTCGATGATCGGGATCCCTGGGTGGCGCAGCGGTTTGGCGCCTGCCTTTGGCCCAGGGCGCGATCCTGGAGACCCAGGATCGAATCCCACGTCGGGCTCCCGGTGCATGGAGCCTGCTTCTCCCTCTGCCTGTGTCTCTGCCTCTCTCTCTCTCTCTCTGTGACTATCATAAATAAATAAAAATTAAAAAAAAATTAAAAAAAAAAAGAACCTCGATGATCCCTGGTATAGCTACGTAGTTGCCAATTCTGCAGGAAGACTCCCTGAAACTTGATAGCTTAGCCCTCAGTCTCAATTACCTTTAATATTTATATTCATAATCAGATTATTTGTCTATAGGATGTACTGGACTTGGTTTGAAGATATAAGAGAGACTGAACGACAATGATTTCCAGTGACATAATTTGGGGGATTTTCTTTATCTTTCAAACTTGTATTGGTTTCATGGGGAATTCTTTGTTATTTACATTATATATGTACACATGTTTACTTTTTCCTCATAAGAAGAAGCCTGTAGATATGATTTTTGCCCACTTAACTTTGGCTAAGCTAATGCTCTGATGCTCATATTCAGAGGGATTCCAAATATAATTACATCTTTTGGAATTAGAGTGGAGATGGGCGATACTGGATGTAAAACAGTGCTCTATATTTAGAGAGTTACCCAGAGTATTTCTCTGTGCACAACCGCCCTCCAGAGTACATTTCAGGCAGTGACTTTTACTCCAAGCAGTCATAAATGGGCCTGGCTCAAATACAAAATCCCTGCATTCATTCAACCCTCCTTACCTTTCTTCTGGATGATCAACATGGCCATCTATTCTGTGGTCCTTTTACGAACTGTGGCCAACAGGAATATCACCGATGATAGACTTGGGTATCAGATTGCTTATTGTAATTTTTTTTAATTTTTATTTATTTATGATAGTGAGAGAGAGAGAGAGAGAGGCAGAGACACAGAGACACAGGCAGAGGGAGAAGCAGGCTCCATCACCGGGAGCCCAATGTGGGATTCGATCCGGGGTCTCCAGGATCGCGCTCTGGGCCAAAGGCAGGCGCCAAACCGCTGTGCCACCCAGGGATCCCCAGATTGCTTATTGTAAAAGCAGTGCACATGATGGCCAGATATCATCAATATTTCTAAGTACGGTATTCATTCGAGATTTGTCCTTTCTCTGATGACATGTAGTAGCATCTACCTGGTGAATATCCTTTACAGACATCACAAAGCAGCTCAGAATGTTCGCAGTACCATCCAGTCTTCACGCTCTCCTGAAAACAAGGCTACTCACGTTATTCTCATACTGGTGAGCTGCTTTGTTTTCTTTTACTGGACCACCACCTTTCTTACTGTTTATTTAGTTTATACAAGTAAGAAAAAGCAACTGGAGAAATTTAATAGCTTTTTTTCATCATGTTACCCAACTATCTGTTCTTTCTTTCTAATTAAAAATGAAAATAGAATTTCCAGAATAAATTTCATGAAACCCCCAAAAAGATTTTTCTCTTCTTAAAGAAAATTCATTGAACATAGGAACACTCTTTAGCATTCTTCTGCACCACAGGAGTCATTTGTATGAATATAGATTAACATGCTTATCGATGACATGAGTTACATTTATCGTCCCCATTGAACTGAGTTAATCCAAAGAACTGTAAATTATTGTTTTCAAATGTTTACAAATTTTGTTTAAAATGTTTAAAAGACATTTTAAAGATTAAATGTAAGGTTTAGATTATGGTACCATGTATATAAAATAGCAACAGATATGTAATGTAGAATGTTTTATAATATTGGAAACATTATCATACAATTATAGAAATGAATAAACCTACAAAAGGGTAGTGGTTACTTATGGGCACTTTATTTTAGACAATTTGCAGCTGGTGAGCACACACAGTACGACGACCCCCATGTGCCGCCCCGGTCCAGGCAGGCCCTGCGCTGAGCACACGGGGCCCCAGGGGCAGGGATCACAGCAAACCCCAGACTGGGGTCGCCTTTATCTGTAGACGTCTCCGTGTGCACCTTAGAGAAGGGGGTGCCCTGTGTCCACAGCCCCCCACCCCATCCCCTCAACAACTGCCCCCACGCCATTCCCCTACATCAGACCCCCCCCCCCAAGGACGCGGTGCAGCTGCCCCCTGTGGGACATGCACAGCCTCCCCAGCCACCTTGGGGTTCTCTGGACGGCCTGCTCCCGTCAGAAGCCTGGGTGTCCCGTAGAGTCCCCAGGGGCCACGGGAAGGTGGGGAAGGCAAGGAGCCCCCGACGGGGGTGCAGGTGGTTGGAGCAGAGGGTGCAGCTACCTCTGTGTGCAGCGGGCGGGGTGTGTGGGAGCCCGGGACCCCAGGGGTGACCTGCAGGGGCGCCAGGGGTGGGGCTGGGGAGCCACCAGGCAAGGGTGGCTGGGCTTCCCGGGGGGCTGCTGGGGCCGTCTCCCCACGAGAGCTCGGTGCTCCTCCCTGCAGGGAACCTGCTGCCCCCCCCCGGGGCCCCCGCGGCCCTCAGAGCGCGGCTGGGTCAGGCTGAACTGTGACCCCCGGCCCAGGGGAGCCGGCCTCCAGCAGCCCGGGCCCAGGGGCCACGGAGCCGGGGTGCAGACTCAGGCCGCCGAGCGGGGGGCATCAGGCGGCTCCTGGCAGCGCTGAGGGGGCCACACCCTGTACCCCCCATGCTCAGATAGTGATCCCAGAGGTTCACAGCCTGTATCGGGGTCACACCTGCAAGACGTTCCCTGCTTTCCTCACGGCGGCTCAGACCTCAAGCTCCAAGATGCTCTGGGATGGGTGGGCCCGGGGTCCCCCCCCCAGAGTCCAGCCCAGGGACACCTGGGAAGACCAGGGGGTGCGCTTAGGGCCACGGACGCCCCGGCTGGGTGGGCTCGGGGCAGGGGCCACGTGGGGCTGGTGGTGTTCCCGGGACACGGGGCTAGGCCAGGGCAGGGGAGGAGAGGTGTCAGGGGCTGCGGGGACCAGGGAAGGGGGAGTGCTGGCTCCCACGGGGCGTGCAGGGGGGACCACTCCAGGGCTGGAGGGGGCGCTGGCGGCGCTCGGGGAGCCCAGAGCTGCACACCCCACGGCGGGAGCCGCTCGTAGGCATCAGACACCCCAGGGTGCACTTAACCCCCGGCACGCTGCACGTGTGAGGTCGCCGCCTGTCCATGAGCACAGACCTGACCCCAGAGATCCGCCACCGCGGAGGGGGCCTGTGGGCCGCGGGGCCTGCGGGGCGGGTGTCGGCACCCTGCGGCCTCGCTGGGCGGGGGCTGACTGAGCAGAGCCCCCCGCTGTCCCCCCTCCTAGGCAGCGAGCCCTGTTCCACGTGCTGGCGGCCTACTCCGTGTACAACACCGTGAGTGTCCCTGCCCCCACCTCCTGCCCAGCGGGCGGCCTTGTCCTGAGTGCTGGTGACCAGCGGGACTCACAGTTAGGGCCCCAGCTCCACGGCCCTGAGATGCGGGGAGGGTCTCTCTCCTCCGGGATGGGCAGGGGGCGGGGTGCAGACCTCCCAGGGGAGGCAGGGCCTGCATGCCCGAGGGCCGGGGCTGCCCGGGGCCTCCGCGTGCACCGCGGCCGTCTTAGAGCTCGGGTCTGGACCCTGACAGACGGGACTACTGACGAGAACCCGGGTGGGGAGGCTCCCACTTCCCTGAAGGGCACGAGGCCGAGGCGCCCAGGAGGCCGCCCCCTTCCACGGCGCATTCCAGAAGGGTCCCCGAGGACCCCAGCTCACACGCTCCCCGGCCCCGCGGGGTGTCCTGGCCCAGCTCCCCTCGTGGGACCTGCCAAGGGCCACAGTCAGGCCCCCCCACTTGCCCTCCGGGGTGTCTCCAGACCTGGCGGGTCCCCTGCAGCCTGGCACAGCTCACGGAGGCCCCCCCTGCTGGTCTGAGGATGTGGGCCCTGGCACAGCGGCCGCAGGGCTTGGTAGCGGGGCCTGGGGTGCTGGCGCCCGAGCTGGTCCGGGTGGGCCTCACCTGCCACCCCCGCCCTCTGGGAGCTCCCTCCGGGAGCCCGGGCTGTGAGGGAGCCGGGGGAGCCTGACGCCCGCGGGGAGGGCTCAGAGGGGGCCTCGCGGCGCACGCCCTCCGTGGGGCTCTGGCTCTTGCAGGAGGTGGGCTACTGCCAGGGCATGAGCGAGATCGCGGCCATCCTCCTCATGTTCCTGCCCGAGGAGGACGCCTTCTGGGCGCTGGCCCAGCTGATGACCAACGACAGGCACGCCATGCACGGTAGGGGCCCGCCGGGCCGCCGGGCGGGAGGGGAGCTCAGGAGGACCTCCCTGCAGGCTGCTGCACCGGGGGGCAGGCGGGGACCCCCAGCCTGCCTCCCCACGGGCAAGGAACCCGCCTCCCCGGTGGCCTCGGGGTCCCGGAGCCACGGCCAACCACCCAACCGTCTGCAGGCTGGGCTTGCACTCCCGCTGCTCCCCCAGCTTCCCGCTCGGCTGCCTGCTTGCCCCCCAGGCCCCCTGCCTGCCCACGGCCACACGGGGCCCAGGGGGCAGCGTCTCCCCCTCCCGGGGGCCCCCAGCCTCACTCCCAAGCCCCACAGAGGGCCGTGCACGCCCATCACCCTCCCCGTGGCCTGCACCCGCTGCCCCTTGGGGCTGGGGACCCGCCTGTCCCCGCGGCGGCCCCTGCAGGAGAGGGGGTTCTGGGTCAGCCAGGCGTGGTCCTCAGCCCCCAGCCCACGCCCCGCGGGGTCTCTGTGAGGACGAGGGTCCCCGGGCCCCGCGCCCCTGTTCTGGGAGGCAGCCCTGCCCTCTGGGAAGAGCGGGTCCAGTCAGGGCTCCGAGGGCGGTGGGCACACGGGGGTCAGGGCGTGGGGGGAGGCCCCTGCCCCGACACCCCCACCCCACCTGGTGCAGGAGGAGGCCCTGACCGTGGGGGCCTGGGGCCTTCTCAGGCTTCTTCGTCTCGTCCCGGGCTTCCCGAAGCTCCTCAGGTTCCAGGCTCATCACGAGCGCGTCCTCCAAAGAGCTCTCCCCGACCTGAGGAGGCACATGGCGAGTGGGAGCTCCCGAGGCTCCTTCCCCCGGGCCCGGGGCAGGGGGTGGGGGACGGCCCTCCGAGCTGCCCAGAGTTGGGGTCACGTTCCTCCCCCTGGGGCCCGGGGGCGCCCTCGGGGCTGGGCTGGGCTGGGCTGTGGGGAGCGCGTCCACCCGGCTCCAGGGGCCGCGGCGTGGGGCCTGAGCACCTCCTGTCCTCCCGCCAGGACGAGGAGCAGATGTCCGCCGGCACCTACACCCCAAAGTGGTTCCTGCAGTGCTTCCTCGGCTGGGTGAGGCCCCCCTGGGACCCCCGCTCCCGGACCTGCCCCCTGCCCCCGGGGAAGGCCCAGCTCAGCCCCACCCTCCAGACGAGCCAGGCCGACCCCGGGGCCCTGAGGCTGAGGCTCGCAGCCCAGCCCGTCCTGGAGAAGCCCAGAGGGTCTCTGGACGAGGTTCCGGGGGGCGGGCCGTCTCTGCCTCAGCTCCCCTGGGGAAGGCCGGGTCAGCCTGCGGTGTGGACAGGCCCTCGGCCCATCGGGCGGCCAGCCTGGGGTCCTCTGGAGCATGGTGTCGTCAAGTGGGGGCAGAGTCTGTGCCCCCAGGGGTGCGGGAGGTGCTGGCCGGGGTCGGAACCCGGAGCGGCCGGGAGCCCTGATCTCCCTGGGAGGAGGGCACGCATGGGGGGGGGGGGCTGTGGGGCCTCGTCGGAGGCAGCCGGGGGGCAGATGGCAGGCCTAGCCTAGCCCCAGCCGAGCCCCCCAGGGGCCCTGCTCAGGCTGCTCCTCCCACCCCGCTGTCCCCTAGACCCCCTTCTCGCTCACCCTGAAGCTGTGGGATGTTTACATGCTGGATGGGGAGCGGGTGCTCATGGCCATGGCCTACACCATCCTCAAGGTGCACAGGAGTAAGTGAGCCCCTGGGAGCCCAGGTGTGCCGGGGGGCGGGGGGACAGGGGAGGTGACCCTGTGCTCTGAGCAGCACCCAGACCTGGGGCGGGGGGACGGCGGGGCAGGCGGGTGCAGCGGGGCTCCCTGAGAGGAGCAGCGGGCAGGGGCCACCCTGGCCAGTGCACGGCGCTCCTGGGCACAGTGGGACCCCAGCCACTGGTCTGGGGGCCCCAAGGGCCCCAAGGCGGGGCCCTCTGGGTCTGACTCTCCCCCACCGCCCAGAGCGCCTCCTGAAGCTGCCCCTGGAAGCCTCCGGGAGTTCCTCCAGGTCTCTCTGGCCCAGCCCTGGGCCCTGGAGGATGAGGCAGTGCTCAGACACCTTCGGGCCTCCATGACCCAGCTCCAGAGGATGCGGTGCGACCTGCCCCCCCCAGGTGGGCTCAGGGCCCCGGCCCCTCCCGACTCAGCCTGCTGGGGCTGCCCACAGGGGACAGAGCTCCCCACAGGGGACAGAGCTCCCGGGGTCCCGGTCCTCATCTCTGGGGCTCTCCTCTTCTGCTCCAGCCTCCGGGACCCCAGGCCAGGGCTGGGCTGGCGGGCACCCACTGCAGGGCCTGGGCACCAGTGTGGGGGGCTGAGCACAGGGTCAGGCCGGGGGGCCATGCGGGAGCCGTGAGGACCCCCGGGGCCCGCAGCGCAGCGGGGGACACATAGCCTGCTGGAGACGCTGACCCCGTCGGCCTCTTTCCAGCGGGACCTGAGAGGTTCCCCATGAGGCCCCTGGGCCTGGAGCGAGTGTCCCCGGAGCCCGGGCCTCTCCTCCCTTCTCCGGCCTCTGAGACACCACCCAGCGTGGAGGAGCAGGCTTCCCCGGGCCCAGCCACCCAGCCTGAGCCGCCCGGACCCCCTCCCGGCCAGGCCATCGTCCAACTTCCCCCCAGCGATGGAACTCCCTCCCCATCCTCCCAGTGCAACAAGACGGTGCAGGCATGGGGGCTCCGGACATGGTGGGCTTCAAGACAAAAAACGGGGTCCCCTTCCATTCAGCACCTGCCTGGGCCACCCCAGAGGCCCTGCGACGGACCAGGCCCTGGAGCCCCCCCTGGGACTCCCATCACCGGGTCCCCCCAGCCCCCGAGGGACGACGCTGTTGGGCCCAGGACACCCTTCATGCCCCGCGGCCACTGCAGCTCGTGCCCCTCACTGGGCAGTGACGGGCACAGGCAGGGCAGAGCCAGGGCGGCACTGAGCCCGCTGCCCTGAGGCCCCGCACAGGCCCAGGACCCTCTGCCCTCCGCGTCCACGGGGCAGCTCGATGCTCGCGGGCCTCGGGGGCTGAGCGTGGCAGTGAGTGCGGGGGCCTGGAGGCTCTGGCCCGCCGTCACCGTGCCCTGCCTCTTGCCCTGCCTCGTCTCGCTGTCCCTCCTGGGGCACCCCCTCTCGCTGTCCCCTGGGCACCCCCCGCACAGGACACCAGCCCCTGACCCAGAGGGACCTGGGCTGGCCTGGCCCCAGGCTTTGGGGGCAGGGGCGACTCGAGCCCCCCCAGACCCATCACTAATGGGATCCAGTGCCCCGGGGCCCTGGCCAGACCTGCGTTCTGGCCCCAGGCTGAGCGGGCCCTCTCATAGCCGGATCCAGGTCGCTGACCTAGGGCAGCCCTGGGGATCCCGGGACACCCCAGGGCAGGGCAGCAGGGGCAGGCCCATGGGCCCCACCCGCACCCATACCAGGAGGCAGGCTCCTCCACGTGCCGGGGCTCCAGCAGTCAGTCACCCAGCCCCAGGGGGCCCGAGGCCGGGGTCCAGCTGGCCTGCGGGGACCCAGCGCAGGAGCCCATGGGCTGCAGGTCCACGTCAGCCCTGCTGTCCCCAGAACCGCCTCTCAACGCCCCAACCTCAGGACAAGCACCCCCACCCGGAATTGAGTCCGCACAGGCTCCCAGGTGGGGGGCTCCAGCACCCGCACCCCTGTGGGATTCCCGCTTTCGTCTAAGGACAGGAAGGTCTCCCAGGGGAAGGCGCGCACCCTCGGCTCTGAGCCCCTGTTTGCTGTTGCAAGTTCAGTGAAGTGTTGTTGTGTGAAAATGCACGGCTGGCTCGTTTCTGCGTCTCCCGGAGCTCTGTGCACGGGGTGCGGAGACACCCCCAGAGAGGAGGAGGGGGCACCGCCCAGGCCCCGACCAGCCCCTGCATGGGCCCCGCCAGGCACACACAGCTGACATCCCCACATGCCTTCCAGGGGAGGCCAGACGCCAGGGTCAGGACCCCACAGACTCTACTGGGACTCACCCTGTGCCCGTGGCCAGGACGGGCCTGGGACAGAGACAGCCAGGGAGCCTCAGGTCATCAGGGTCTGTGCAAAGCGCCCTGGGAGGTCTGTGTTCCCTCTGTCCAGGGGGCCTGGGCTGCCCGGGCTCCGGGGCGCTTCCTCCCCTCGCCGCCCCGGGCCTGTGCGCTTGGGGCACAGAGGGCCCACGGGGCGGTCAGCGTGGCCCTGGAGGGACGTCAGGATAGCAGCATATCATCCTCAAGAGGGAAACACCAAGAACTTTTCCTCTGCAGCCAGGACAAAGACAGGGATGACTGCCCTCATCACTCTGATTCAACACAGCCCGGAAGTCCTAGCCACAGCCATCAGACGACAAAAAGAAATAAAAGGCATCCAAATCAGGTAGGAAGATGTCAAGCTTTCACTATTTGATGATGAATGATTTTCTGTATAGAAAACCCAAAAATCTCCATCACAGAACTGCTAAAACTGATAAATACAGTAAAATCACAGGACACAAAATGAACTCGCAGAAATCTGTTGCATTTCTATGCAACAATAATGAGGCGGCAGGAAGAGAAATTGAGGACTCAGTCCCATGTATACTAGCACCAAAAACACTAAGATTGGTAGAATTAAGCCTAACTAAAGAGGTGAATGCCCTGTACTGTAAATCCTATAAAACAATGATGAAAGAAATTGAAGATGACACAAACAAAATAGGCATTTCATGCTCAAGGATTTGAAGAACAAATATTGTTAGTAAGGCTATACTACTCAAAGCAATCTACACATTTAATGCGATTCCCATCAACATAGTAATAGCATTTTTCACAGGGTTGGAACAAATGATCCTAAAATTTGTATAGAACCATGAAAGATTGAAAATAGACTGTTTTTCTGATTTTTATATTAGAAATTGTTATGTCACCTGTTTAGCCCTTTAAGGTTATTGTGTCAGACCTATAAAATAGGATTTCCCCCTCATTTTATTTTCTTTGATAAAGCCATGATGATACACGAATCCTGTTTTTGCAATTTAGTTTTGACTTAAAGCTATATCATAGACATCTTCACTTTTAATGTCTACATAGCTCTCATCCTTTTTAATGTCGTATTGCATTGTGTAAACAAACTATATTTAATTTTGTGTTGTGACTGTTTGTTTCCTGCTGTTCTATATTGACAATTCTTCAATTAATATTCCTGAAAATGTGTATAGATAGGATTTGATCTATGCAGCATGCAAGAATTTTTGTTACTGTTTCCTGACAATAGAAGAACCCTCATGGTGAGATACGTAAATATCCCTTCTCTTATTTTTATTTCTAAGGCAATACTTAACATGTCCCAGAGATTCTCACATTTAGTATGTTACTTAATCCTCACCAAAATTATACATAGCTAAATACTATTCTTATTTTTAAAATTTTTGTTTTTAATTATGAAACAGCATACATTTGCTGAAAATTTACACAATGTAGAAATCCATAAAGAAAATGAACACCACCTATAACTTAACTGCTCAGAGAAAACCTGACCGTATTTCAATGAATGTCCTTCACATCTTTCTGTACAGTTATTTTATAGTTGAAACTCAGCTTTATGCACCTGTGTCCTGCTTTTTAAAATTATAGGAACATTTCCTATTACTCTTGATAGCCATCTCTTTTCAATGCTGCGCAATATTCCATTGTGTTTCTGTGCCATGTTACTGATCTTTCAGTTGGCTTCCATTATTTCCTACTACAACTTATTTGCTGCGAAGGATATTTTTAGGTATACATATTTTTCTGTGTTTTATATTACTTAGGGAAAAGCCCTAGAAGTGAAACTGGGAGATCAAAGCTCTTGATATATTGCCAAACTGAAGGTTTCATTAGTCGCTCATTCAATTGTTCCTACCAAGCCTTCAGATGGCCAACTGGGAAGGAGTAGGTCTTCAACTATGTAGCACTCCTATATCCTTCTTGATTCATGACGTCAACATCAGTCATTTGGAATATACTTTTTCTGGGACGCCTGAGTGGCTCAGCAGTTGAGCGCCTGCCTTTTTCAAGGCCTGATCCTGGGGTCCCGGGATCCAGTCTCACATTGGGCTCCCTGCAGGGAGCCTGCTTCTCCCTCTGCCTGCGTCTCTGCCTTTCTGTGTCTCTCATGAATAAATACAATCTTTTTAAAAAGAAAAGAATATATTTTTCTTGTATCATTGGAAAAATATTCCTGAATATAGGAATACATGAATAAATAGAACATATTATAATAAGAGCTTTGCTATAATATACTTTTTAAAAACTTGTCCCTCAGTTTCACTATTCACTTCACATTCCATGGTGGGGGGGAGCCATATTCTTTGTATTACCTATATCCTTAATTAAGACTGATGTCCTGTGTTGTACACAACTTCTTCAGATAAGTAAAACATATTACCATTCTAACCATTGATGATTGACGAACCATCTTGTATTGCTGGTGACTTCTCTAAGAGCAATGACCTGTAGTTTTGAAGAATTTAGGTCTTTAGCTCAGTGACTTAATATTTAAGACTTTACTATGGAGGCTGGTTCTGGTTCTGATATTTTATGAAAATCTAAATAAATTACATTTTGATCCTTTAATTATACCACTTGTCTGCTAAATCCAATGGCAATGTAAATGGTCAGATCTAAAAAAAAAAATCCAAGAATATATTTTAAAAATCACACTTATTATACATTCCTTTTATCCTTTATATATCTTAAAAATTTTCAGTATTATAAAGGTATTTGTACCAGTGTAGGAAATACGTTTTGTAATAAGTTTTCTTAGTGTCTATTTATATAAGAGACACAAGATCTGAGGTCAAATCTTCAAAATTATTTTCCATTTTTCCTTACACATTGTAATTCTATGCAGATTAAATGTTCAATAAATGTCATAAACAATTACTGAACACCTGCTGTGTGCAAGCTTCAGCCTAAGTATTGTGTCCATTAAAAAGAGACTAAAAGACTCTTTAGGAAGATGAGTCATTACAAAATAAGGCTGTAAAGTATATGATAGTTTTTAAAAGTAATAGTAAAAGCAATGAATCCACGTGGCAGAAATTACCATAGAACAAGTTTTTTTTTTTTTTTTTTTAAAGATTTTTTTTTATTTTATTTATTTATTTATGATAGTCACAGAGAGAGAGAGAGGCAGAGACACAGGCAGAGGGAGAAGCAGGCTCCATGCACCGGGAGCCCGACGTGGGATTCGATCCCGGGTCTCCAGGATCGCGCCCTGGGCCAAAGGCAGGAACCAAACCGCTGCGCCACCCAGGGATCCCTAGAACAAGTTTTTTAAAGAAGTTTTGTGGACAGGTAGTGGTGAAAAGTTGATATATGATGAATTCTTAGTTCTTGATCTTAAACATCACAATCTAATTTTAGCTAGGTAAGAAGAAAGTGATTTTAAGAATCGGCTGTAGCTCACAGAATTGAGGGAAAGGCGAAAAACCAAGATCAAAGAATGACGGAAACCAAGGAAAGCTTGGTAACAGAGATTATAGCTAAAATAAGCTTCAAAACAGCCTGGTTAGAGTTCTGTTACTGGCCCAACCATTGCTGAACACCGCTAGAAACCACTGCCACTGGGAGGGCACCTGCGTGGCTCAGTGGCTGTGCATCTGCCCTGGGTTCAGGTCGTGATCTCGGGGTCCTGGGATCGAGTCCAACATTGGGCTCCCCACAGGGAGTCTGCTTCTCCCTCTGCCTATGTCTCTGTCTCTCTGTGTCTCTCATAAATAAATAAAATCTTTAAAAAAAAAACAAAAAGAAACCACTGCCACTGCCACAGAGTGGTATAACTATGAATTCTAAGCTTTCTGTTATTGTGTCATTCACTCACAACTCAAATCTTGGGCAGGAGCACACAAGTGGTGGCAGCAACATTACATACTAGCAATCAGTCTGAGAGAAAGAAAATAACTAACCTCTTACTTAGCCTTCTTTAATGTAATGTGGAGCCTTGCCTCCCACAAACAGGTAACAAGGAATTCTCCCAAAATAAAAATGGGTTGTGGGTTTCAGCAGTCAAGAAATGACAAAATACCCACTAGTATCCATTCCTTTGCCTGACCAATATACGCATACCCATAATTTCCCATGATTATACTTCATAATTTCACAAAATTATCCCACCTAACATAGTAAAACTACTTCTCAATCAACTGAGAATGTACCCTTCCTCACAGGAAGACAATCAAGTCTCATAGGTTACTATAATCATTTCCATATCCAGGATCTCAGGAATGTCCCTTCTTAGTTCTATGGTAATCTCATTCACGATATTCTGCAATCTTATGTACTACACTGTGGTTAGTCAATGTAAAAAAGTCCTATATGTGATGGAAGAAACAGAAAAAAGTAAAGCTAAATTTGGTTAAGATACACATCATGAGATCAAGCCTCGTGTTCAGGTTCTGCACTAGATGTGGAGCCTGCTTAAATTTTTCTCTCCCTCTTCTTCTCCCCTCCCCATTCACACTCTTTTCTAAAACACACACAAATGTTCAGTGTAATTTGCAGAACATCAATGAGAATGTGATAAAACTAAAAAAAAAATGAACATAATCTGACAGCCTTGGCCTTGGATGTAGTAAATGACAGCTGCATTGTTAGGCTTGAATACATTTGGAAACCTAAGTATAAAAGGAAGAGTACGTGTGTGGAAACTGAACAGCCAAGAGTGACTGCAGTGAACATTTGTCTTTGTCACTACCTGTTCACCCATCTCAAAAGAATTCCAGATGCTATCCTCCATTACAGAAGCCAAGAGTAGGCACCTAACCCAATCTTGGCCAGTTGAGTAAGGATTCCGAACCCTTAGCTGATCTTGCAAGGAACAAGAACAAATGACAGGAATGATTCATTATGCCATCCTGACCAGGCTGTTCCCACTCTCAAATAATCTCTTGGCTTCCTCCTTGAGTGCAATTCTCTAGTACTTCCTGGTTCCTGCCCACAGTTCTGAGAGATACTGGACATCCTTTCATTAAATTATCTTTTCCTGGGACGCCTGGGTGGCTCAGTAGAGCATCTGCCTTTGGCTCAGGGCATGATCCCGGGTCCTGGGAAGGAGTCCTGCATCAGGCTCCCCACGGGAAGCCTACTTCTGCCTCTGTCTCTCTCATGAATAAATAAAATCTTAAAAAAAAAACAAACTCTCTTTTCCTTAAGTTAGCCAGATGGTTTCTGTTGCTTGCAATATAGGACCCTGATTCAATTAAAAAAAAAAAAAAAGCAGGAATGGAAAAACAAATATAGATCTCTTTTAAAATGTTTTACTAGAAATCTATCTTTTCAAAGAACCTACTTGTGATTTTGGATATTTTTATGGACTGCAGGTTTATCCCCTTCCTAAATTCATTTGTTGAAACTAACTCCCAATAAGATAGTATTAAGGGTTGGGCCTGGGCCTTTGGGAGGCAGTTAGGTCATGAGGGTGGAGACCTCATGATGAGATTAGTATCACTGAAGGAGGAAGATAGCCAGCCCTCTCTCTTCACTAAGTGAGAATACAATGAGAAGACATTTCTCTGTAAACCAGTAAGAGGTCTTCACTGAAATCCAACCTTTCTGGCACCCCCACTGCAATCACTGTGGCCAAGAGAGATAAGCTAGGATTGACCCAGCTTTGGTTACATACCCTACATACTCAATCACTCTGCTATGGAGGTAGGATGGTTTATATTTGGACCCTATGATGTACTAGAGAGGAACTTCCCACGAAAGAGGAGTGTTAGACCGGAAGAAACGGGGTTTCAGAAGAAATATTTTGCAGATATATATGTATTTATATTATACATAGATATACGTATCTTACAGATACCTATATACCGAAGGTGTACTGTAATCTTTTTCTTAGTCGTAGGACACAAAAAATCTGAAAGGAGCTATCCAAATTGGGTTGGGGAGGGGAGTTTGGAAGGGTGGAAAGAAGAAAAACTAATTTTGTTACCTGTACATTCCATGGCAATGGAAGAGCTGGGATGGCGAGAGGAGAAAAGCAGGGAGTGAAAATAAATTCACTCTGACCACTTTGGAAGGGATATTTTAAGCCACAGGATTTGTATATGTATATAAGTGTATATAAACACATTTACACATATCTCCCACCCATATTAATCTAACCACTTCAGATAATTTAAATTGGAGCCGCATTTGTCATTTCCAATGGGAAGTTTTAGAGGGAAAAAAAAAAGTGTTAAGACTTTTAGGAATATCATTAAATCATTTACTCAGTAACAACACTTAGTAGATAACAAGAACACACTGCACATACTCCTTTCCCATTTGGCCTGAATAAGTAGTTTTGCTACACAATGCCTTCCTAATATAAGTTTTTCTATGGCCAGGGAAAACAGTATTTTAAATAGTTCATCTTCCTAAATTGTATTTTCCAAACAGGTATTTAGAAAAGAAGTGTGAACAATTAAGCTTTATTACTATAAAACAAAAACAAACAATTGTAGAACATTTGACTATAAATATTATGAAACTATATGTAAAAAGACTATACATATATACATTATCAAAATACCTTTTCTATTTTGGTAACTAAATTTCTGAGATTAAAAACAAAGTAATTCAAGCATTTCTAAATATAAAACTTTCAGATTTATATTTATTAAAGACAAAATACCACCATTTCTATTGGAGTAATCATGTATACACCAAGATAAATATTTCCAACTGTGGAAACAAATAGTGAACAACTTCAAATTTCTCAATATTTTAATGCCTTAAGTATTTTTTTTTTGTGAAAATAGGTTTACTTAATTTTAAAATCAGATTGTCTTTTGTGTTTTTTTGCTTTTTTAAAAAAAACAATATTTATTTAAAATGGTATTAGGCTTTCACCAGCTAAAAAATAACATTTATCTAGATGTAGGAATTTTAAAAACATACAAAATCAGTATGTAGTAGGAAAATATATTAAAAAAAACCACATACGCAATTATACCTCCTTAAAAAATATAAATGCACCTTCCACTGATTATGAATATTGAAAATTAAATATTCTGATTTCAAAGTAGCTTCTACAAAATGTTGAAATAGTTGGCATTGTTTGCTTTTCTAGTATCATGAATAAATAAGAAGTATTTCTATCTCATTTAAACAGTACTACTAGTATTTCTTAGCAAAAATGTAGTATTATACATAGCATTATCCTATATTCAAGTTTTCATGTTTGAATTCAATTAAAATGTTTTCTATAATTTATAAGGACAACGCACACAAAAGTAAAAAGATGAGGTAAACATCTTACATTTTTAAGAAATTACTTGAAACTTAACACTCAGATATTCTTAATGCCTAAATTCTAGAATGGTGCTTACGAAGGTCCTCCATTAAAAAAAAAAAAAAAAAAAAAGGAAGGTCCTCCATAATGACGATGATATGACATGTATCTGAACCACGTAACAGCAGGTTTCTTGGTCTTCTCAGTAGACAAATGATGTTCTTCCCTGTTACTACAAAGTGATCATGACTAAGATTTGCCAAAAATAGTGCTTCGGTGTGAGTTTACATGAGGCACCATGCTACAGTAAGAGCAGCAACAATGCCATTCAAAATTGCCATGCTATAGCCCATGTGGAAAGAATGTCCAGTCAGTTTCCTGTGTGGGGGGAGGGGGGAACAAAAAAAGGAAATGTAATTTGGTATAACA